TTTTATCATTCATTCAAGCGTCATTTTTTAAAATAGTCATTTTATTTATTAAATACTTTTTCGAAAAGCATCACATTTTTTGTTAAAAAATAATCTTTAGATCCCTTTAAATTCGATTAATAATTCAAATAATGTAATGTTAAACAGGAAATATTTTTTGGTATGTTTATAATAATATTTTTGACTTGTTTATAAACTTTCTCTTCAAGTAAAAAAACTTTTTTATCATGTATTTACATGCTTGTGCAGCAAATAATATTTTTTCCATACCACCTTACGGTAAGTATATTGGAAAGTAATTTTTTAAAGAAAAAAATTAAAATTCCGCAACAATACTTAGTTTAAAAAAAAAACTAGATAATGTGACATAGAATTCAGTAAAATTCAATAAAAAATACCTTTAGCACTGTAATTATCTTTACTGATTTATTTTTTCTTCAAGTGGTTTCCTACGCCTAATTCCACTCGTAATGAATACTTTATTTAATGAATATTTTTATTACTAAAGGAGACTAGTTGAGAGTTTAATTATTTAAAAAGTTTTTAAGTTAACTATGAATGGTAAATATTGAAAAAAAAGCTATTCCAGTAGTGCTAAGCATAACTTTAAAAAAAATTTTACTAAATTCTAAGTCACTTTATCTATCTAGTTTTTTTTTTAAATTAAGTATTGTTGTGAAATTTTAATTTTTTCTTTAAAAAACAACGCACCAAGATACTTACCGCAAGGTGGTATGGAAAAAATATTATTTGCTGCACAAGCATGTAAATACATGATAAAAAAGTTTTTTTACTTGAAGAGAGAGTTTATAAACAAGTCAAAAATATTATTATAAACATACCAAAAAATATTTCCTGTTTAACATTACATTATTTGAATTATTAATCGAATTTAAAGGGATCTAAAGATTATTTTTTAACAAAAAATGTGATGCTTTTCGAAAAAGTATTTAATAAATAAAATGACTATTTTAAAAAATGACGCTTGAATGAATGATAAAAAAAAAAAAAAAAAATGCATTGATGAAGAATCGATGGTATATTGGTCAGATTCTACACGCGGGAAAAAGGCGAAGCCCGCTCGACCAACGACGAGTATACCCCTCTAAGATATAAGATTGTATTTAAGTGTTAGAGTGAGGGGAGCTTGGGTTAAATGGAAAGGTAAGGGGAGCTCTCCCTCCACTGCCAGCCTGGTCGGAGAGAGAGTAAAACCGTTGTGCGCATGCGCGAGAACTCTTGGTTGTTAGAAACACTGGTCCGTGTACCGTGCGACGTGTACGGTATACGAGAACACTGTGCCCGGTACACAGTACTGCACACACCTAAAGTACCTAACACTGTGTACCGTGCACGGTGTACTATACACGGCGCACGGTATCGGGTACCTGGTCACTGCCTTAGAGGGCGGCAAATTCATAGAATTTAAGAGTGGACCCAGTAATTAACAGTTAAACAGTGCCTATTTACTCAGCAAAAAAACAGATAGCTGAAAAAGCTGAGCCGCAATCACTTCGATAACGGTTTTGGAAAAGTATAGATGTATGCTATGTCTAAGTTATTATTTTTAAAGTCAATAAACTTTATTTATTTTCATTTGTTACTTTTTTTTGTTATTGAAAAAGCTTAGATTAAATTAATTGCATTAAAAAAAAAATATCACTCATTATTACTAATCCACAATAAACTGACTTTTTCATAATCAAAAGTATTTGACTTACGATTTAGAATTTATAAATTGAAAAAATGCAGACTACAGATGACTTACCCAATGACTTGCAGAAAGTTGTATGTCAGAAGGTAACGAGTGGATAAATAGTTTATATTTGAGCCTTTGAAAAACATTATTGAAGAAAAACAAAACTATACTTGAATCTAATAACTACACATAAGTTTGAAACATTCGCAGGCTTAACAGCTGTTAACAAATAATTGACTGTTTACTCTTTACCACGATTGTCAAGAGTAAATCGAACGAGGAACTATAGAAAGAGAAAAAACAAAAGAGCCTTTAACCATTTAGAATGACTTGCACTTTCCAAGGCAGAACCTCCTATATAATGTGCTTACGAAATCATGTAATTCGAAAACGTGGTGATTTTTTTTATACGCACACAAGTTCTCTTCAAATAATACACTACTTGACAGACGAGAGTTACGTGTACGTGTACATGCAGTCTTAAGCTGCAGTCACATGGAACGCTATAGAGCATACAGAATAGAATTGTCCGTATAAGCGACTGTGTTGAGACTATTACGCCGCGCAATTAGTCTATTCCGCAGCGCAATAGACTCAAAACAACCGCGGACAATTCTATGCTGAACATTATATTGCGCTCCATGTGACTGCAGCCTTTGTTTTGGCACAGATAACAGAGTTAGAGTTATGTGTTAACTGGGGTCTGATGGGGGCATTTGATACCTCGCTTAAATAAGCAGTTTTTTCGATAATCCCTACAAAATAACCAAAAAATAACGATAATGCGCATGCGTAGTTTAGGGATTATCGAAAAAAACTGCTTACTTAAGCAAGATATCGAATGCCCCGATCAGACGATCAGACCCCTGTGGTATTATCGATTAGTCGATTAATCGATTAATTATATAAATCCGATTTAAGTCGATTGGAATGTGTCAATTAAACCCGGTTCGAGGGAATGCTGAAAAAAAATATTGAAGAAAAATTTTTTTTTGTCTTCGAATAATTGTACTACTATTTTGGATACGTATTAATTGTATAAAATCCTGAATTTGTTATTAAGAATTCACTATATAAGTTTAAATGTCACAGTGGCCATTCAAGTCGATTGACTTTAGTATCACTTTTGCCTATTAAAACCGATTATCTTGCTTGGATCCAACATTCCGATTCAAGTCGATTGACTTTCATGACTCTTTTGAGTATTAAAGGCGATTAAAAATGAAAATATCCCGAAGTCCCATTGAAGTTAATTCATTTCAATCGACCAAATAGTGTGAGCTGATTGGACCTATTCAAGTCGATTCAAGCCTATTAACTATGAAACGACTTGAATCGACTTAAATCCGTCATTTATTGGGATTCCAAAAGGTCACGTGACTCTCGCGGTATATATGGTCACTTGGGGAAAAAATAACACAGGCCTTATGGATGCCATTCTATTTTTATTTTTTTTACACGTTAAACGATTGTAATACGATAAAAGCCTTTCAATAATATTTTTTTGGAGGAAATGACAATACCTGAGATATTTTTTCCCAACTCAATTAGTCATTTGCAGCTTAAAACTTCCCTTTGAAAGTACGAAAACGCATATTTAACCTGTACAAACGTCATGTTTACAAACCGATACATAAGCAGCGGCAGGAGGGAGTTGTACAGGTTAAATATGCGTTTTCGCACTTTCAAAGGAAAGTTTTAAGCTGCAAAAGACTAATTGAGTCGGGAAAAAATATCTTAGGTATTTTCATCTCCTCAAAGAGAAGTTATTGAAAGGCTTTTATCTTAATACAATCGTTGAACGTGTAAAAAAAGTAAAAATAGAATTGCACCCATACGGCCTGTGTTATTTTTCCCCCAAGTGACTATATATACCACGAGAGTCACGTGACCTTTTGGAATCCCAACAGCAGGGATGTCACTAATTTTAGAAACCAGCCACAACTTGCACCAACATTTGGAACAAAACTTAAAAGTTGTAGCGTCTAAGTGTCATTTGCAGCAAGATGAGAATTTTTCTTCTACTCAATAAAACAATTTTTTTTTTTAAATTGGACCTCCTATTTAACAGCAAAACAGAGTCACAACTGTGCCAGCTGGTTTTCCTACAGTAATTAGTATCCAAAACTAAAGTTGCAACAACGTTCGAATTCAAGAAAGGCGAGAAAATGACTTAACCGCACTGCTCTTCTAACGTTGATGTTGTCTATAATACTCATCTGAGATAATAGATAATGCATTGTAAATAATATTGAAGAAAAAATTTGAATATCAATTTTTTTTGAGATTGGTTTTGACATGGACATAAAAAAAATAGACTGCTCATAGTGCTCATTCTTGTGTACGGCCATAGAGATATCTCTATGTGTACGGCACTGAACTACTGAAGCACAAGTAGAAAGAGACACAATATCGAGCGTGTAAATCTGTCTTTCTCGCACGTTGCCAACTGTGGAGACTTCGGCATTTTGGATCTGTGCAAGCCAATCGGTTTCAATAGGCAAAAATGATACTAAAGTCACTTAACTTGGATCGGCATTTTGGAACTATTTTTCTACTTTTATTTCATTGGCATGAATGAAAAATTTACAATGCTCTACTTATTTTAATCACTTTAGTAGCAATTTTCACTAATTAAAGTCTGTTTCTTAATTTTTTTTTAATGAAATTTTTAGTAACTTTGTGCATTTTATCATTTAATTTTTCATTGCGGTTGCATTTCGATTTAGTTAAATAACGTTTGTTAACTTTAATATAGTCTACTAGCAAGTTTTATTCTAGTTCGTCAGAAAATAAAGAAAAACGATTTTAAAAAAACAATAACAAAGATTACTAACTTAAAATTATTAAAAGTCACATATATAGTCGATTAAAATAGACTGAAAAATCTGTTATTAAAGCAAATTAATTTGCTCCTTCCCAAATGCCGATTCAAGTAGATTGACTTCAATGCCACTTTTGCCTATTGAAACCGATTGACTTGGCCAGATTCAAAATACCGATTCAAATCGATTGACTTTAATGCCACTTTTGACTATTAAGGAGGTTTGGGAGTTTCATTCAGAGGGGCGAAGGATGGGGAGTCCCCCCTACCCGCGCATCAGTGCCCCCTTTCCCACGCACCTCTTCTTGCACCCCACAAATTTAAAACTGTACGACTGCAACTGCTTATATTTTTGAAAAATGCCTGGCAAGGCTTGATTTCATTTTCAAGCATCTTCCTTTTATACCAAGTTATCTATAAAAACTTTTTTTTTTAATTCAACACATTTAGAATAAACCTCAATTTCAATTAAAAGGTAAACCTAACCTTGCTCTCTCATAAGAGACCGTGTTAATCTGTCAATATTTCATAATTTTTTTCTCAAAAATTTTCTATGCAGAAAAATCTGAAAAAATGTATATGCACTCCTTACATACTCAAATGTAACATACATTTTTTTTGGCACGTTTCTCCAATTTCAACTTTTCTTCCAAACCTCCTCAAAGTCGATTCTTTTACGAACCACATAGTCGTATACTTTCGGGAGCAATGTTGGGTCGGTTGCATCAGCTGGCCTTAGTTCACTGACCCTCACCGTTGGCAACGTGCGAGAGCGACAGATTTACACGTTTGATGTTGTCTCTTTCTACTTGTGCTACAGCGCCGTACAATGTACATAAGAATAAGCAGTCTATTTCTTATATGTCTATGGGTTTTGGGTGGATAAATTATAACGGTGTAAGATATACCAACCAGGTACTTATTATACATCTATGGATCTTATTGTCTAAATTACCTACAGTCACGGTATAAGATATAGAGGTGGCCCCATTGCCCACAGTATATTGTTGTGAACATTTTCTGTCGTTTCTACTTTCTTGCACCAGATGTCACATAGAAAACAAACACTGAGTAGTCCGCACTCCGCAGATGTAGTAGTATCAGCGTTGGGTTAGGCGGATTCAATATCGGAACTTTTTCCCTAGATTGTATACATATCTAATATACGATCTAAAGAGAAAGTTCCACTTAGCACTCTAGCACACAGCAGTGAAGAGGCATTGCCACAGACGGTACCCACCCCTATCTCAAGTCATGACGTCATTTGTGACATCGCCAAATACGTCATTCATAACATCATAAATGACACCACATTGACGTAAATTTGACGTCATTTACGACGTTGCAAAAGACGTACTTCACGACATCTCAAAGGACGTCATTTACATAGGTTGTTGTTTAACAAAGGGCTGTTTAAAAGCATTTGATGGCCCCACAGAAGCTATCATCAGGATGGTAACACTAAAACTAGGGGGTTCAAGTATTTTTTATAATAAAAAAAAAATTTTCTCAAGTAGGGAAAAAACTTTCTAAATTCAAAGACTTTTTGACTCCCTCTGTTTTGGTGTTATCATCCTGATGGTAGCCCCTGTTAGAAGATCAAATACTTTCAAACAGCCCTTTGTAAAACAACAACCTATGTAAATGACGTCTTTTGAGACGTGATGAAGTACGTCTTTTGTGACGTCGTAAATGACCTCATATTCACGTCAATGTGATGTCATTCACGACATCATGATTGACGTATTTTGCGATGTCACAAATGACGTCATGATCGACGTCATAACTTGAGACAGGGACAATGCGCGAAAATTAAAAATTGTTATATTAATAACACAAGTGCCTATCACCCAACGACCCGGGGCGCTTACTGGCCACTCTATTAAATAATGAAATATTTATTATTAACACAAGCACCGAACACCTAATGACCTGGGGCACTCACTGGCCACTCTATTGAGTAATGAAATGTTAAGCAATAATACAAGCGCCTATCACACGATGACCTAGGGCGCCTCAGTCATAAATTATTAGCTATTATTTTAACTATAAATTATAGCTGTATTGACAGCTATAATCAGCTACAATAATAGCAATAATTGACTACAATGTAGCTATAGTCATGTACAAATAACAACTATAAAACGTAGCTGTTTACAGCTACAAATTTCTAGCGAATTTTAACTAACAGAATTTGTTCAATAATATTTTTTTTTTTGTAAGGTATATCAGCCGTAAAAGATGACATTATCCGTATGACACTAAAAGTGGAGGGTTCAAGTAACTTTAAATTTTAAGCAATAAACAAAGAAACAAAAAAATGTTACTGTTAAAATTTTTTTCGTTTATTGTTCAAAAATACTTGAACCCCCCACTTTTAGTGTTATTATTTATTATACGGATAATATCACCACATATGACTGATATACCTTACAAAAAAAGAAGATTATTGAATAAATTCTGTTAATTAAAATGCGCTAGAAATTTATAGCTGTACTTAGCTACTTTTTATAGTTGTTATTTGTACATGATTATAGCTACATTGTAGTCATTTATAGCTGTTATTGTATCTGATTATAGCTGTTAATACAGCTATGATTTATAGTTAAAATAATAGCTAATAATTTTTGA